TTAAAACAATACATGTTGCTTTTGTTTGAGGGGAAAGCATAAGTGCTAGAAGAGGAAAAACATTTCAGGGGATTGGAGGCATGCCTGTAGTACTCCTAGTTCTCCCTCTGACTTGCTATGTGACCTTAAGCACTTAACTTAGGGTAAAATTTTCCAAAATGTCTAAGTCCCATTTTCAAAAGTTACTTAAACACCCTCATCCCATTTGGCTGCTCAATGTATAAATTACTTTTGGAAATGGGACTTAGGTTACAGAATCCTTAGGTGCTTTTGAGAATCCTTCTAGGTGCCTACCTTCCTGTTTAGATACCTACGATCTTTGAAAGTCTGGTGCTTTTGTGCCTTCACGGGAATGAATTGATTAATCTTTGTAGGGCACTGAAGGTCCTTGGATGAAAGCAGCAGTAGCACCTCCCGTCTTTTTGAAATGTCCAGTTTTGGGGGTCTCGCTCGTGGAGGGTGAATTTACTATAGCAGTGCAAAGGGAAGCCTTGCTGGTATAATATACTGCTATTCCTATACCGGTATAGCACTCCCGGTATAGACTTGGCCTTAGTGTGGCTATTCCACAGAGAATGCATACAGTTAGAGTCCTGGGCTGGAAAGAAGCCTAACTTAGAAGCACCTTTTGCACCTAAGAAGCCTGAGGATATTCTAACTAATGTTCTTTGGGCCCCAGGCAGATATAATTTTGTGGGACTACAAGAAGAGAGAGCTGCTTGCACGGCTGTCACTTCACAAGGGGAAAGTTGAAAAATTGGCTTTCTCGCCGAATGACCTTTACTTGGTGTCACTGGGAGGCCAGGATGATGGCAGGTAACAGGATTAAATTATGAATCTTCCTCCCCCTTCATCAGAGGTCACATAAGCAGAGGGCTGGGTGAAAGGGACTGTGTCTGAGGACCAAATAAATGAAGGCAAAAATGCTTCTGGCAGCTTCCTCTCCTTCTACTGTTGGCTTTGCTTCTCAGCACAGCACCAAATGCAGAGGAGAGTCTAAGCTGATACCATGCACCTTCTCTCATATACAGTGTAGTTCACACCACTTTGAATGCAGACCCCCACACATCACCTCTGAATCTTACTGCTTGGGTTTTAGAGACTGTTTGGCTTAATGGGTGGGCGGGAGGAAGGTGAACATTGCATCAGCATAGGTTCACCTTGAAATTTGGCCCAAAGAGACTGTCAGGAGCTTGCCCCCCTTCTGGTCCCTCATGACACTATTATGTGCTGGTCCCATTCCCATGCAGTAAGAGGGGTTGGCAGTTGTGGGGGTTTCTCTGCACATGGCTTTTGTGCCTATTGGTCATTGAATGGGGCCTTATGCACCCAGGGAAAAATCTTCCTGCCTTTTAATGATGGAGTTCTCTGTGGAGCTATCCAGTGGATTGAAGGCATAGGTCTTCTCACAGGAGTGGTATGTCTAAAACTGCCTGTCTCAGCAGATATCCTCAGCATTGAGTTCAGCCATGGATCTTCTTATATCCCATTAGTTTGTATTTGAAATATGCTGCATATGGTGTATGGTAAAGTGAGCACTCAAATAAGAGGGAGACTTGAATACACGCAGGGTACTATATCATTGTTTGAAACTGTGAATTAATTAAGAAGCGATCAAATGTAGGCTCTTGTAGCACAGATGAGTTCCTGACTTGCATCCTCTCTGTGGGTACGTCTAGACTACATGCCTCTGTCGCCAGAGGCATGTAGATTAGGCTACCCGACATAGGAAAATGAAGCTGCGATTTAAATAATCGCCACTTCATTTAAATTTACATGGCTGCCGCGCTGAGCCGACAAACAGCTGATCAGCTGTTTGTCGGCTCAGCGCGGCAGCCATGTAAATTTAAATGAAGTGGCGATTATTTAAATCGCAGCTTCATTTTCCTATGTCGGGTAGCCTAATCTACATGCCTCTGGCGACAGAGGCATGTAGTCTAGACGTACCCACAGAGAGGATGCAAGTCAGGAACTCATCTGTGCTACAAGAGCCTACATTTGATCGCTTCTTAATTAATTCACAGTTTCAAACAATGATATAGTACCCTGCGTGTATTCAAGTCTCCCTCTTATTTGAGTGCTCACTTTACCATACACCATATGCAGCATATTTCAAATACAAACTAATGGGATATAAGAAGATCCATGGCTGAACTCAATGCTGAGGATATCTGCTGAGACAGGCAGTTTTAGACATACCACTCCTGTGAGAAGACCTATGCCTTTCCCTCCTGACCAGTCAAAAGGCAAAGATACGAAATACTACGGGGTCTTTTGGTGGGTGTCACAGTTTCAAGGTAGCTGCATCTGTATTTCCCCCTCCATGGTCCCTTGAGGGCACCCTCCGAAAGGTTCCCAGCTTCCAGCCAGCACCTCTCTTAAGGCAGAGACCCAGGTACTTCCTTCTGATCCGGGGCATTAAGGCTGCACAGCTCCACGATTTACACTGTCATATCCCCAGCAGGCCAGACTGCCTAAATGGGCGGTGCCTGCATTTTGCCTGCTCTCCGAGGGCCCTTCCTAGAGTACTGCCAGCAGTTACCCGTGCCAGCACGGCTCCTAGAAATTGCCTCTATTCTGAAGGTGAAAGCATTATAGAAAAAACATATTAAAAGAAACTACACACATGCTAAAAAGCTCATCAGAGTCCCCCCCCCCCAACTCCTGCTTAGTGTCTTCAGTGGGTTGCAAGTCCTTCAAACCCACAACTGGGTTTCCCTGTGATTATAGGTTAATTGGTCTTAGAACCAGAATGCAGGCCTGAGTCACTTTTAGTGTGAGCTGTTCACCCCAAAGTCATTTCTTTCTATGCTGGTCTCTGGAGAATCCAGCTTGAACCAGGATACGTGAGCATCACCAGGAGGTAGCACATGTCTGGGGGTAATCTAACCTGAGTGATTTCCCTACGTTAACCTCCTGTTTTCACTTCCTGGAGGAGCAGTGGTAGCCCTCCCCTGTGGCATTCATACAGTACCTGGCCCACAATGGTGCATAACCATTCTACACTTCATACAACATGGTCTCCCAAAGAGATTAACTTCTTGCAATATGCCTGTCACAGTGGGGACAGGATGAGATCGACCAGATCAGTTTCTACTGAGGTTCTACGACATGATTAGAAGCTTAGCCAAGAGAAGTTAAAAGGCTCGTGCACAAACCCGTTCAGCTGTTTTATGAACAAGGGCCGTGAATTGCAATTCTATATAGCTATGTACAGGAAGTGTGGGGGAAAGTTTTCCATGGTTATAATCTCTGCAAAGTGCCTCCAAACCTGGATTCATCTACCAACACCTATAGGAAGATTGCCTTGCTCTGCTGAGTTGTGACATTTTCCAATGATTTAAACAAGTTGAAACTACTTTTTTAAACCCTTCTTTCCTTGCAGTGTGGTTGTATGGAGCATAGCTAAGAGAGAAGCCATCTGCGGCAGCCCTGCTTCAGCTCGCAGTGCTGGAAATGCTACCGTCCTGGCCTTCTCCAGCTGCCGAGACGAGTCATTTGTTAGTGCTGGAAAGTAAGGTCTTGTCTATCGGCCAACAGAAAACGGTTGCGGGGGAAGGGCCCAAAGCTATTTCCTCCTGCAAAGGTTGTTTATCTAGATCAGTGGTCCCCAACCTTTAGAGGCTCCCGGGCGCCCGGGGGCGGGGCCACTCACGCGCCGGGCGCCTGGGGGCGGGGCCACGCATTCACTGTGCGCCCGGGGGCAGCACCACGCATGCGCCGCACGCCCAGGGCTCAAGAATAGGTCAGGTCGGCCCTGGTCACTAGGCGGGCACATATAAATGCTCCGGCGGGCACCATGGCACCCGCGGGCACCGTGTTGGGGACCACTGGCTTCAATGATCCCAGTCCCTTGCAAGGATGAGGCTGAAGCAAGGGCTTTTCCCCTCTCCATTGCATATCTACATGGGCTTGATCCCTGAATGTAGGAAATTCAGCAGGCTCCCCTCACTCCCATGGCTAGCCTCTCCAGTGTAGAGAGGAGCTGATCACAGGTGGGAATTCATAGAAAATGTTTTAAACCTCAGGAAAATGTATCATGGCTAAAGGAAGTTAAGCAACATGGACTGTTTACTGTTTTTTCCCATCACTATCGAGAACCCTGTGAATGTCCATCAGCTTGTCCCTTACAGGCATTTCTGCTGGTTCTACACAAACAGTATTTTCAAAGCAGTGTCCAGGGAACTGCCTGCAGCAGTTGTGTAACTGATGGCAGGGATTTGTATTCAGCACTCCCCATGCAACCGTTAAAATATTTGCTCTCTAATGGTTCCGCGAGAAGATTGGCTGACAAATTGCTCTGAGCAGTGGCTGGAGCAGTGATATCGCAGAGATTGCTGGATTGTTTTCTCACCCTCTCTGGCTGTGAAGTGCCGTTATCAGCTCTGTATGGTATAAGAGAGCTCTCTGATGCAAAATAGTCACATGTCCCCATGTAAATATATTATTACTTGCTTTGCAGCTGCAGCTGCCATTAAAAGCAGGAGGAATTGTGGAGCTTCCGAAAATGATGGCAGAGGCACTCCAAGGGCGCTAGACAGAGCAGAGGAAAGAGAGGGACCCTGACGGAAGCTCTCTCAGCCTAGATTTAGACACGGTGCTGCAAGCAATAACCAAGAAAGGCAGAGTGAGGAGATGAGGGGCTTGCTTGTCAGTCTAGCCACACGCCTTGTGCTCTGATAGGTGCTTCGATTGGGAATTAGAGCTGGGTTTGTACAACGTCTTGCTTTATCTTTGTAAGCGAGCCCCAAGGGAGAAAGCGTGCGAGCTGAGGAGCGAGAATGTGCAGCAGTGTGCATGCACGATATGAAGGGAGCTGGAGGTTAGGTCCATAAAAGGCTGTTAGCCGGGGGTAAGGAATGGTGTTCCTGGCCTCTGTTTGTCAGAGGCTGGAGAAGGACAGCAGGAGTCAAATCGCTTGATCATTGTCTTTGGTCCACCCTCTCTTAGGCACCTGGCACTGACCCCTGTCGGCAGACAGGCTACTGGGCTAGATGGACCTTTGGTCTGACCCAGTATGGCCATTCTTATGTTCTTATTATGTTCTTATGGAGAGGATAGTGGTGGGAGGAGTAGAAGGAAAGGGAAGAGGTGAAAAAGGCTGCCATTTCTTTTCCGTGCCGCTGTGCTGTATTCTCATTGTACATGTGTCCCACTCTGCTTCTACGGCCCCGCCCCTGCCCTGCTCTGTTTGTTACGGTGCTTTGGCAATAAAACAGTGCTGATTACATCTCCATTCTTTTCTTATGTGCATGGTGGACCTATGACCCAATCAGAAGATAGTAGTAGATATGCAGATTCCTAAGCCAGAAGAGTCCACTGTCTGGTCTACAGTGTAACATAGGCCATAGAATTCCCCCACAACTCCTAGGGCAATATCTTTTAGAAACTAGCCTTGTTTTCACAATTGCTAGCGATGGAGAATCCATCACAACCCTTGGTAAATTGTTCCAATGGCTAATTATCTTCCCTGTTTAAAAGGTGCATCTTATTTCCAGTCTCATTTGTCCTAGCTTCAACTTCCAGCTGTTGAATTGTGCTCTACTAGCTTGAAACAGCCATTGTCAAATATTTGCTTCTCATGTAAGTTCTTATAGACTGTAACCACATGGCCCTTTCATTTCTCGTTTGAGCTAAATAGAGCAAGTTCCTGGAATCTGTCATTCTAGGGCAGGTTTTCTAATCCTTTAATCATTCTCCTGGCTCTTTGAACCCTCGCCAATTTATCACCAACCTATTTGATTTGTGGGTACTAGAACAGGAGGCCGTGCTCCAGCAGGGGTTGCACTAGTGCTAGCCACAGAGATAAAACAACGTCTCTGATCCTGATAAATAGTGTAGAGCCACGAACCAACTCCTGTGGGGTCCCACTGGAATCAGACTTGCTCGATGATGATTCCCCCTAGAAGGAATGATGCAGGAGTCCTGTGTAGCTCTCATGTAATTATAATACAATCTCTAATGAGTCAGACCAAGATCACCGAATTAAGGTTCCTGGACAACTTTCATTCTGGTATTCCCTAACTTTGAAGTGCTAGAGTTTTCAACTTGAATGGTCTTTTAACATAGTTTTGATGGAGAAGAAATAATATTGTGGCTCCTGTGTCAGTAATGAAGTTACAGAGCTAGAAAATAGTCCTGAATGCTCTAAGCAGTCCCTTTCCTGTTCTTCTCAGAAATAACCTGAGCCATCTGGGCCCCGCAGTGCATGTTTCTCAGAATAGTGGCAAGTGTCTAGGTTGTTTCCTGTTCCCCAAGAACAGAGCTTATACTTTGACCAGATACGTCCACATGGATGTAAGTGGTGCAGTAGAAGTTACCAGGAACTTACCTTCTAAAAAGGACAGATTCCTTTTTTGCCTCTTGAAAATTGTACTTTTATGCCTTTTTCCAGAACATACTAACTGTCCCTGCTGAGCACCGCTGTATTAAACAATCTCAGAGACTCTTGCATATGTACACTTGATTATGTGTGTTCTTTGGCTACAGTGGGACTATTCGAGTATGGGAACTAGATCTACCAAATCGAAAAATTCGGCCAACAGAATGCCAGACAGGGCAGCTGAAAAGAGTAGTCACATGTATTATGGTAAGTGTTCCTCTGTGGAAACTGTAGCTAAGCAGACTTATGGGTGATTGAAACCACTTGTAATAATGTAGCAGGCTGGGAATTTCTCCTGAGAATTTCTTTTCTGCTTATGAACATTATCGGAGTTTAGTTAGGAAAATGTCTTAACTGTCCACAGAGCTTGTGTGTGTGTTTCAACATAAGCTTTACTCACCTCCCCGAATAAAAACTGCGTAATATGCTGAAGTGAAGCCACTCCTACCCCACAATTATGAGCATGGCAAAGTGACCCGACCCTGATCTCCTTGTTTAACCTTCGCTCAGATGGCAGAAGACGATAGCTACTTCTATGTTGGCACTTCCAGTGGTGATCTCCTGAAGCTGAATATGAAGAGCAAACTGATGAGTGACTATGGACCTGTGAAGGAGAAGTTCAGTCTGGTGAGTGGCATCCCCGTGGGGTTTTTACTAAGTACATGTCACTGACCCAACAACTTTTCATGCAGCTTTTCTCCTGCCTCCCAATCTCCTCCTGCTCTTTTGTTGGTAGCTGACATAGGGGCATTTTTCCTTCCTTCTGGGAAAACCGCCCTGAAGCTGATTCAGAAACTAAGCCCCATTCTGTGCCATTACTTCCTTTGAATGGTGTAATTGACTTGGAGCCCAAAGACATCCCCTCTGTTCAGCTTCATCTGGCTCAGGATCTGGTTTAGCCAATGTGATGGGTTTGGTCACAGAGCTCCCTTTGAGACTCTCACTTGGGGTGTGTCTAGACTACAGGGCTCTGTCAACAGAGCCATGTAAACTAGTTTACCCGACATAGTCAATGAAGCAGGGATTTAAATAATCGCCGCTTCATTAAAATAAAAATGGCCGCCACGCTGTGTCGACAATCAGCTGATCCGGCCCAGCGTGGGAGTCTAGACGCGGATCGGTCGACATGGGAAGCCTTTGCACACCTCTCCCTTATGCCTTGTGAAACAGGAGCGGTCGACAAAGGCTTCCCCAGCTGACAGATCCGCGTCTAGACTGCTGTGCTGTGCCGGATCAGCTGATTGTCAGCACAGAAGGTGGCCATTTATATTTTAATGAAGCAGGGTTTATTTCAATCCCCACTTCACTGACTATGTCGGGGAAACTAGTTTACATGGCTCCGTCGATGGAGCCATGTAGTCTAGACATACCCTTGGGCTGCGTCTAGACTGGCATGATTTTGCGCAAGAGAGCATCTATACTGGCACGGATGGTTTTGCGCAAAAGCACATATTTTGCGCAAAAGCGTCCATGCCAGTGTAGACACTCTCTTGCGCAAGAAAGCTCCGATGACCATTTTAGCCATCGGGCTTTCTTGCACAAGAAATTAACGTTGCTGTCTACACTGGGCCTCTTGCGCAAGAATACTTATCCCTGAGCGGGAGCATCGAAGTATTTGCGCAAGAAGCACTGATTTTGTACAATTCAAGGTCAGTGTTCTTGTGCAAATACTCGCAGCCAGTGTAGACAGGCGGCAATATTTTGCGCAAAAGCAATTGCTTTTGCGCAAAATCTTGCCAGTCTAGACGCAGCCTTGATGTGCTGAAAATACCCCTGATCCCACCTTCCTGCCCTCTGGAGCACCTCACCAGCCTGTCCTGCTGCTCCACCAGAGCCTGTGGGCTCCCCCAGCGATGGCACAGAGTGGGGTCATAGCACACTGCAGAGCAACCCAGACACTGAGATCCACTCATCTCTGGGAAGGTTCAGTCCAAGGGACTTGACACAGCACCCAGCTGCACAACCCCAGTGGGACCAAAATCCCAGCTAAATCCATCTCACTGTGTGTAAAGTTTATATAGAGCAAGCTCATAAGTGGTTTGCCCCTTTTATGAGAGCTATGGACAGCTGGCCTCCCACCCTGGTAACAATTATTTACACTGGGTTTATTAATAAACAAATGGGAGTTTTATTAAGTATAAAAAATAGGGTTTACGTGGTTGCAAGTGATAGAGACCGATCAAAGTGAGAACGACGAGGAGTCCTGTGGCCCCTTATAGACTAACAGATGTATTGGAGCATAAGCTTTCATGGGCAAAGACTCGCTCCGTCAGAAGTGGGTCTTTGCCCATGAAAGCTCATGCTCCAACACATCTGTTAGTCTATAAGGTGCCACAGGACTCCTCGTTGTTCTTGCAGATCCAGACTAACATGGTTCCCCCTCTGACACAAAGTAAGGGTATGTCTACACTACCACCCTAGTTCGAACTAGGGCGGTAATGTAGGCAACCGGAGTTGCAAATGAAGCCCGGGATTTGAATTTCCCAGGCTTCATTTGCATATTGCCGGGCGCCGCCATTTTTAAATGTCCGCTAGTGCGGACTCCGTGCCCCGCGGCTACACGCGGCAAGGACTAGGTAGTTCGGATTAGGCTTCCTATTCCTACTCCTCGAGTAATGGTAGTTTGGAATAGGAAACCTAATCGACATACCCTAAGTTACTAAGCAAAATAAAACAAAATACACCAGCGGCGAGGAGTCCTGTGGCACCTTATAGACTAACTGAAGTGTAGGAGTGTGACGTAGTGGGGGTACTTGCTGGGCTGTGGTGACCTCTGCTGTCTGGAGCAAGACCCAGCAGGGAAAACCTCACTAGGCCAAGGTAATGCCAAACTTGTTGAACCAGTGGCCAGACACCCCCCATGGAGAGGAACAAAGGAAGGTAAATGCTGCCCTGGCTGGGGGGCAGGGCTGGAAGGGAGTGAGTTGGTTGCTGGCTGTCTGTGAGGATGGAGGAGACAGCCTAGGGAGAGGAGCTGGAGTTTAGGGGCCCAGTCTCCCCCCAACTCTTTCGTGGGCAAAGACCCGCTTTGTCAGATGCATGTCACGAAAGCTTATGCTCCTACACTTCAGTTAGTCTATAAGGTGCTACAGGACTCCTCGCCGCTTTTGCAGATTCAGACTAACACGGCTCCCCCTGATACAAAATACACCAGCTAAGCTTAATACTCTTAGAAACTTGTTACATGCAATTTCTTATCCTAACAGTAGTTCTAATCACCTTTCTCTCAAGATAGGCAGCCTCCCATCTTGAGTCTGATCTTTCCCTTTGTTCAATCTTAGCTGTTTCCAGCAGTCATCTTAGGTGGTAACTAGGGGTCACTTGGCATCTAGCAGTCACCCCTGTTGTTTGGTTTCATGCCTTCCTATATATTTTCATGCCTTCCCAAGGTGGGAATGCTTTGTGTTAAGTTCAAACTTTTCTCCCCTTGAGTGGAAAAAAACAGCGACCAACCTGGTTTCCAGCATCAGATGGCCTGGTGACATGTCTTCGTAGAACCAACCAGAGTCCAGGCTCACAGGAGAAGCAAGACTGTTCACAGCTCATTGCCCCAAATACAGGCCCATTAAGTACGACGAATGGCCCTCACTTAGCAGGTGTGTGCTTCGTATTTCTGACTTCAAGTACAGGCATGACACATGCCCACAAATAGAATGTGCACATTCAGCAAAGCAAAACTTTTAAAACAACGTGTTTTGCATATTTGAGTTAGGCACATTCGTATTCCAGAGCATATTTCCATAAAGAACATGGGGGTGCAACATCAGAGATACAGCTCTTGTGCCATCCTGCACATTCTCTTATCAAGTTCAATACCAGATGGAGGCATTATAAAGCCAGCAAGGTCATAAACATGCAAATGCTCTTGACTTTGCCATCGGATATTAAAAGCACCGAGGGGCTTCCATTTCACAAGGCAAAGAGACGTCAGCTTGGGCAGATATTGCCTCCTCTGCGCTTAGCTCTCACGTGCTTCCTCGAACCAAGGTCAGTAGTACTGGATCGGGTGTAAGCAGCAGGGATCATCAGATTACATAAACAGTTGCTGAATAGCTTGGACGTTGGGCAGTGTTTGACATCTGAAATCAGCCAAGTGCCTCTCAGGAGGAGCGGGCCTTCAGTGCTGGTCTTTTGAACGAGCGAGGTGCGCTCTGGTCGGCCTCTCGTCTTAGATCAGCCCCCTGGTGTTCTATTATCTGCTGGGTGAGGGCAGGGGGGCCCCGGTCCACCCTCTTGACCAAGTTGCAGTCCACAGCCCTATGGTGGGTGACTAATCCCTGGATCACTTCCTACTTCTCAGTCCACCCACTTGACCAAGCTGCAGTCCACAGCCCTATTGTGAGTGACTAATCCCTGGATCACTTCCTACTTCCGCCCCTGCTGATTGCACCAGGGTGAAGCCCTTCTCTTGAGTCTCTGACGTGCATACCCAGCCGCTGCGCTCCTTTGTAGGTTCTCTGGTCTGTGCAGTGCAGCCGCAGGCTTGGTGCCCCCGGGGCAGTACGTTGACTCTCAGAGCTCAGGGCCACCATCTGCTCCCTTTCGCTGCCTGCCTCCTCCTGAGCTGCCCGTCTCCATGTTTAAAGCCCTGCCTGCAGTTTGTGTAGCCCTGGCCCAGAGGTGCCCTTTAACCCCTTGCTCTCAGTGTGCGGGTTGTAAATCCCGTCGGCGGCAGGACCGTTCTGTGTGTTCTCTTTGTAACGGGGCAGTGAGTCGGATGGGCTCATGGTGCCCGGGCTCCAGGAATATTCTGCACTCTGGAGCCCAGCTGCACCATTGGCGCTGGGTCTCTCTGGCTGCCGCCCAGTGCACCGCCCTTTGGGCATCTCCTGGCCCTGTGTGCCCTCCCATGTGCCTCCCCGGGCAGTGGCAGCTCCACACTGCACTCTCTTGTCAGCTACTGCTGCGGCCGGCTACAAAGAGTGGCACCGGGGACAGGCTAAGGTGGCTGCTCCACCTGTGGAGAGAGAAGGCGCATGGCAGTTCCCCCCCACCCCCCCACTTCCGGGCAGATGATTGAGTCAGATCTAGGGGGTAGGATCCTGGCAGGTCTTTGAGCAGAGACCGGGGGTGGCTTGTGCTGGGAGGAGGAGGGGCCTTCTCTCATGGAGCTCGCTGTTGCCAGTGGGGAGAGGCTGTGGGAGTTCTCCTCTGTGGCCCCCATCCCCAGGGCAATCTGTCCCTTGCACCCCAAACTCTTCATTCTCTGTCCAGCCCCATACCCAGCATCCCTCCCAACAGCCAAACTCCCTCCCAGACACTGCACCCCAACCTCCCGCCCTTTGGCCAGGTGCGGGGCAGGGCAGGACTTGAACTTATTCTGGGCACTGCCAAAAATTGTTCAAGCCTGGTGCCCCGGGTAGTACAGCACCTAGCACCATGGCTGGCAGGAACTCTGATCACCCAGATCCTACTACCAACAGATGACCTTGTTGCTAGCACCTACACAGTGTGGAGGAAGCCGAGTGATTTGAATTCAAAGGGGACAGAAGCCAGAGGAACTGGGCTGGGGGATGGAGGAAAGCAATTGCCTTGGAGTTGAAGAAGGAGAACCTGGCTGGCTGGACAAGGAGGCCTAGGAGCCGGGGAGAGGCTGGGAGCTGGTGAGGAGAGGAGTTGGGGAGCTGGAGCCAGTGATAGGAGTGAGGGGGGGCAGGAAAGGGAGCTAGCTGGCCAGGATGGAGAAACACTGAGACTGGAGGAGGAGCTGGGGAGTGGGAAAGGGACTGGCGGGCCAGGCAGACTTGGACCAGGAGCCCATGGAGGTGGGACAGGGGGTTGGGTAGGAGACAGATATGGGACCAGTGTCTGGGGGAGGGGGCAGAGACAGAGACAGGCGCTTCAGAGCTTGGAATGGAACCCAAATTTCCTGAGTCTCAGTCCTCTGCTGTCAGCAAACAGAACCCCCTGCGAAGTGTGTGCCTCAGCTCTCTATGCCGGTCCCCCCAGCGGACCAGACCCACCACTGCTGGCACTTCCTGCTCGAGCAATCGCCCAGCACCTCAATGCCCAGCACCTCAACACATCAGGACCCAGACAACGAAATCATCAGTGGCCACCTGTTTGTGGTTTAAGAGACTCGCCCAGCATCCCCTGGGCACTTGGGGGCAGGGCTAGGAACAGAATTCAGTTCCCTTGAGCAGCATTCAACTGCCTTAAACATGAAACCATCTTTTATCTTCCCGTGAGAGCCTGCCCCCCGCAGTGTGGGGGGCCCAGCCCAGTGCAACAGGCCCAGTTAACCAGTCAAACATATAGTTTAACTGGCGAACAGTCGCAATGGGCTTTTACATCTCTAATGGTATTTCAGCATGTGGGGTTTTAAGTCATGATCATAAAGTGCATTGATTTCATTTGGCAGCTTGTTTCTGAAACCAACCTTTTCTTTACGGCGTTTTTTAAAATGGGCTTTTTGTAAAGACAGTAAATACTGGACCTGTAAACACTGCATTGATTTCTATTCCCATTATATGCGTGAAGAATGGCAAGCGAGTTGCTCAGGTGCAAAGTGGGCTGGGTGATTTGCAAATACCTTTCTAGACATTCCTGGAGAGTTCACGCTGTAAAAATCTTTAAGCAACTTGAAGATGAAGAGCAGACAGTGCACTTGCAGCAAAGAAGCCTGGAGGAGATTAAATGGGGCAAGGGAAAAAGTATCCTTATGGGGAAATAGGCCTGCTTGAGTTGTTTGAGATTTGTCTCCGTAATTTCAAGACAGGAATTTCTTAGGAGACTTTGTTTCATCTACAAAAGACAGGACATAAAACAGTATTAATTGCATCATTACTGTGAATAGCGGGATGTTGTGAATAGCCAGTGCAGATTATAAATCTGCCGGTTTACTCATGGTAATTCAAAGAACAGTCTTGATAGGAAGAAGCCCATTTACAATAGCAAGGTTGCAATCAGACTGATAACAACACGTCCACCATAGGTGTTCTGACCTGTTAAAGGCCCTTGATTTTCAGTTTTGATGGTTTCAATGCCAAATTAGGGAAATTAAACGGGATAGCTAGAAAAATTAGAGCAGTATTGGGAGTGCTATAAAACACACATTTATGAGCTGGCATTTGAGAGCCATAATCATATAAATTCTCAATTGTTTGTTTGATTTGTAATGCCACCACTTTCCATAACTCTGAACCTTAATGGAACTCATAAAGAGCTTTTTCCATCTCATAGATAAGCAGAAGAAACTGTCTAGACCAGTTCTATTTCTAGATCATATTTTCTGAGTCTGTTTTCATTGTTCTTATGGTTTTTCCTAAGACTAGTTGCATGAAAACGGGCTTCTTCCTACTGTTTTTCTGTTAAAAAAATATCCTCTGTGTGACCTAATTTTCCACAGCAGTTACTCCTGCTGTCAGAGAACCATGAGAGAAGGTAGTGGTGCAGGTGGAAATAAAAAGAGAACCATGTAAATAGAAGCGAAGCTCCTTCCTCGGGCAGACATACTGGATAGTTTTGTTTTCTGAATACGTGAGAGATTCAGTTAATGTGACATATGCAGTAACCTCTATAGAGGATATTTTAAAAAATATTCCATGAAGCGTAAGCAAGACTTTAAAATTAATACAGTTGATTCCACCCAATGGGCGACTAGACCAAGCAGCCTTCCCAAACTCAACCTCCTTTCTCCAAATGGTATGTTTTATGTCTAGTCCATACCATCTGGATGCTCTTCCAGATCCCATCCTGGCCCTGAACAGTGCATATACCCTATTTTTCTCTCTGACTTGGCCTCCCCAATAACCCCCATAGGACCTTAGTCATTTCTGTGTAAAGGTCCTGCCAGCTTCTTGTCTGTGGCCATATTGCCCTGAACGTGTTTGATCATGGAAGCAAAGTGGGGTTGGGCCTGATTTAAGATTTGTAGAGGAGCAAGTCTGGGAATACCCATACTTGTGGGCTCAGATATAACACATGACACTATATTGCCAAGCTCATGTGTTCCCAATTAGGCAGTTTTATAAAATGTTGGGTTTTTATTTGCCTTCTGGGTTTTGACCTTTCAGAGTTCACAGTTTCATGCTTTTTCCCAGAGCCATGACTGGTAAAAATGTACAATTCTTTTAAAATGAAAGTCAAATAATCCCATGACTCTAGGGCTGTGTCCAGACTCAGGGGGTTTTTCGAAAAAAGTAGCCTTTTTTCGAAAAAACCTCACCAGCGTCTAGACTGCAGCCGCGTTCTTTCGAAATTAAATCGAAAGAACGCGGCTTTTCTTTCGATGGCGGTAAACCTCAATTTACGAGGAAGAACGCCTTCTTTCGAAAGTTCCTCTTTCGAAAGAAGGCGTTCTTGAATGTAAATAGGGCTTCTTCGAAAGAGAGCATCCAGACTCACTGGATGCTTTCTTTCGAAAAAGCAAGCCGCTTTTTCGAAAGTTCAACGTGCAGTCTAGACGCTTTCTTTCGAAAGAGGCTTGCAGTCTAGACATAGCCTAGGATCCGGAGCTTTGAGGAAAAAGCACCAGATACTGGAACTATCATAAGAGTTGGCAGATACACGTGCTGAACTAACTAGGAAAAACTTACAGACTAACAAAACATGTAGATGTTATCATGAGCTTTCATGGGCACAACCCACTTCTTCAGATGACTTTCGCTGGGCCCACAAAAGCTCAGGATACCATCTGCATGCTTTCTTAATCTTTAAGTGCTACTGGTCTACTGGTTGTTTAAGTTTTTCCTGTTATAGCTCACTCAGCTCCCCCTCTGAAGCTCTGAGCTGAGTCAAAGAATCTCTGTAGAGGAGACTCAGCCCTGGTAATACCATGCATAGGCACTCCTAACTGACACACTCACTACACCCCTGTGTGTCCTGGTGGGGGGCCTGAGGGAGGGAAAGCAGCACGTGAGGTGATACAGAGGACTCTGGGAATTAAACCGCATCCTATAAGCGAGACAGTGCCAGGGAGTGGAACAGCCAGAGACCCTGCAGTATGGGCCCTGTCCCACTGGGGCTGGAGAACACCCATCCACAAGGGAGCTGTCTGCTCTCTGAGGGGAATGGTGCTGACGTGCTGGAAGTGCGCTGTTTGCTTCACATTTTGTTCACAGTCCAGATCTTTTTAATTGCCCCGTTTAATAACGAGCCGAACCCTGACGTTTCCCCTCCCTCTTTACTGGGGGAAAAACTCTCACGAAAGTCAGTGGGGATTCACCTGAGAAAGGTGAATCCCCCTCTTTTTGTCAGAGGCTGGAGAGGGATGGCAGGAGACAAACTGCTTGATCATTGTCTTCGGTCCACCCCCTCTGGGGCACCTGGCGCTGGCCACTGTCGGCAGACAGGCTACTGGGCTAGATGGACCTTTGGTCTGACCTAGTACGGCTGTTCTTATGAAGAACATCCAGGGTTTGGGCCAGGGCTGTTATACACCTTTACTGCACCTGGCTTTAGAGACTCTTGGAGATCTTCAGAGATTAATAAACTGTCACAGCCCAGAATAGTCCCATTGACAAACAGGGAAACTGAGGCACAGAGAACTTGTCAGCCTTGTCTATGCTCAGACAGGAACATCTGTGCCAGAGCTGGGGACAAAACTGATTTCCTGACTCCCAGACTGGTGCTTTTGCCAGTAGACAACACTTCCTTTCTCTGGCGGGGCAGGTGGTCCTTCTGTTGTCCTCCTCCGTTCGCTGGGGTTGGACCCCTCTATTGAAATGCTGGCTGTTTCCAGAGGGCTCTTGGTGAGAGGAAGAGCTTCTCAACGCCCCCCTCAATACAAGGGGAGTAGCATGGTTCTCTGAAGCAGTGAGAGCTAGGGTCTGGGACACAGAGGTCCTGCAGAAAAGCCAGAGCACGCTTGGAAGGAGAAAACTTAGGCTGAGTTACACCGTGTCATTGTAATGCTCAGATGAATGGTCTGTGGCAAGATGCATGTATTCTGTGCTAGAATGGGTATCCAGGGACATACCTGCTCCATCCTAGTCCCTTTTTGTAGGACTGATGCTGTCATTAATGTCTTGCTCTTCCTCACAGTTTGTGCACTAGCTGCTAATATAACGGTAGCAGAGAAATGCTGTCTCCTTTCCTTGTGGAAGGACTGCTTTGTTGCAGCAGAGCAGAGCAGTACTAATGAAGCAATACATGAACAACATAAGCACCGCCACAGGGAGCGGGACAAAGACAGGCTGAGCTTTTCAGCGTGGCAGCACCAGTAAAGAGCCTCGCTGCCCTGCAACAGTGCGTTACTCCTGTTTTCTCCTAGGGAGTCACAGCTTTGCTTTTGCTGAAGACGGGCGAGTTAGTGGTCAGCACCGGAGGAGGGGTTGTCGCTCTCTGTAAAGGATCAAACTACAAACCAATCAAGTGAGTTTGTAGAGCAAAGCAGCAGGGGGGTGAGTGGCATTTCCACAAAGTGGCACCATGTTGGGACAATATTGTTTACTTGCCACGGCGCGCTAAGTGCCTGTGTTGATGGTTTTTTAGTTAAGGAACGAGAGTAAAATCTCACCGTATCAGTCTTCCAAACATTGCTGAAATGGCTAGCTTGTACCTTGCACGTTTTTACTGATTCATTTACAAACGTGTGCACCAGTCGGCCACCTTTACTTCTAAAAGGCTGGTGTCAGATCCTGAACTGGTTGTAAGGTCGACACAGCTTGTGAAATTAATGAAATTACATCGAGTTCATCAATTTCATCTGCCCTCTTGAAATCTTACCAAAAAAAGATGTTGGATACTATAGGGATTTGTCACTAGCTATGTAGACAAGTGTGTCAAAATGTTGTGCCTTTCTACTCACAAAGCATTCCGTTGTGCATGCAAAACTGAGTTACAAACATAGTTTTGCACAAAGAATCTCAGTGTACACTTTTGATAATGTAATTATACGATATAGCTTATTCCCCAATCATTGAAATCAAAATTGCCTAGAATCCTCCTGGGGTACGCTAATTTTTAAGTGCACCTCTGATAAGAAAGGTGTGTTTACACAAGACCCTAGTCGAACAGAAGTGCAGGTGTGTTTTCTCAAACCCTGCCGGATTTACCATTGTCTACATGTGGAAGCTATTGTGAAATAAACTAGTGTGTGAATTCAGAGTGCAATAGCTATTCTGTGCAAATGCCCCATGTGGACATTCTTATTCTAGTTAGCTTCATCCACTTCCAAAGTGTACGTTGAGTGCAGAATAAGGGAGTCTACGCAGGCAGCCAATGGAGACTATTCTGCAGTCGCAATTCCAGGTTATTTCCCCATGTAGACAGTCCCAGAGACACCAAGGCCTGCATGAAGTGGCAGAGAAGGGAATGTGGGTCTTCACAGTGTTTCTGCCTGTTGGGTCAAGGTAGGAATGTAGCACGTGGGTGGGAGGAAGCTAAAGCAGCAGAGACGAAATCAAAGAGGCGAGGCAAATCAAGGTCCACATCAGTGTACATTTCTGCTTTATCTTAACAGGAAAATTCAAGTCCAAGGTGGCATCACCTCCCTCACAGGCCGAGGTCAAGGTCACCAGTTCTTCGTAGGAACGGAAGAGTCCCAGATTTATCGCCTCAACTACAACGAGTTTAAAGAGGAGCTCATTGCCACCTGTCATAACGAAGCTATCCATGACATCATTTTCCCATCGTTAGTATGACGGGGAAAAGGGAGGGTGGGGGAACAAGGTGCAGATTTGATGCCGATGTCTGGCCAGCACTGTCCATGCAGAGATCCCCACAGTCACTTGATTTACATAACGAGGTCCCTGAAACGCAGCCCATCTGGGGTGGCCGTCAGCCACAGTTCAGCGTGGCCAAGTGAAAAATCAGTTCAACTGAATCTGCATCAAGAATTTTGACTAGGCGCCTGTATTTAAACAAAGTGGAATTTGCGTAGCATTGGTGGGAGGAGTGTTATGAAATTCCTGGCCCATTCCAGCTTGGACTGACGTGAAACTTGACATTTCACATGTCTGTCAGCGTTTCTTGCATGCACTGGGTTGAATAGGGCCTATCCTTGCAGGCATGGCTGCATTCTTGCTCTGTCTCAGTGCCTAGAATGCCATCTAACATCGGACTAACACTGCTGTCAAACAGACGTTGGGCTATCAACTTCACTTGTAATTGTGTGCTTAGCCAGACGGCGTGCTATATTCAATCCAGGAGTCCGGGTGCACGATGCTAACCTCACGGCTGGGCCTTCTTCACATTCATCTCATGAACAGACAGGAAAATTCCCCTTTGCTGTCAATATTAGGATCACGCCATTTCATAACAGTGGTGGCTCAGTCCCTCGCTCTGCTAATGGAGGGTGGCAGTTTGCTCCAGAGGGAGGTCCTGGGCGTTGGTATGCTGCTGCTGCCGCTGCTGCTGCTGTGACATGAAGTGTCAAACCCAATTGAGTTACAGCAAAATGTGCACAAGAGACATGCAAGAAGCCCTCCAACTCCTCACTTTACGCCAGAGTACGAGCCAGCACCTCTAGCGTAATGAGTAAATCTGTCAGTGCTTTGAGTAATCGGCCGCGCTCCCTGGACTAACACATTCTGCGAAGAAGGCATTCCGAGGAGCTGGTTTAGACATGCTGGCAGGACTGTTTTGTCACCTGCCCTTTGACAGTGACGTCTCTGTGCTCTTCTCTGGAGCGGTGTATGTCCCAGGCTTTGAAACCCAGGCTTAAACCTGATTCCCTGGCCTGGCTTAGTCCAAAGTCTTTCAGCTGCCGAGCTTATCTAGTTTTATAAAGCGTCCCAGGAAAGGAGCTGGGTCACTGTTTGTTTTCTGTCCTGGAGCTTGCTGGGCGTTGATGGGGATGCGGAACAAAAGGCATGTGATTGTGTCACCAGCTGGCAGGGCCCTCTGAAGGGGAGAGTGGTCCAGCCCACCTGTGGTCCAGCCCACTTAGCTCAGGCCTAGTGAAGGAGCTGGTGGCTAATGGTCAGCAAAGAAGCCCAGGGGGAAGGAAGGGAGGGAAAGCTGGTAGGGGCTTGGAAAGGCTCCGGCAGGAGCCCCAGCTGGGCTGAGGAGGATCTGCAGGGACAGGGATCCCTGGAGGAGGGGTGAAAGAGCGAGGCCGTGAGCCACTGGCGTGAGCCCAGCGGCTAAAAGGCTTTTGGTTGGTTCTGAGCCGGGTATAAGACTGTACGAAGCCCAGGTGGGCAGAGAATGTTCTAGACCGAACAGCTGAGAGAGAGAAAGAAAAAGGCAAAGCTGAGAGGCGGAAGGAGCAGGGCAGCAGCCAGGGGAGGGTGCTGGGGAGAGAGGGGCTCCCCACAAGCTGCTTTCTCGCTCCCACTCCCCACCGGCCTGCACTGCACGATTTGCTTATTTTCATAGATGACGAACACCCCCTGGGATTGCCTGGGCAGCTCATCTCTGCGCCCAGAACGGGCTGCTAGGAAGGACGTGCTGCTCTCCTTTGCAAAGCCCCCTGCTTATTTACCCCCCTCTACCCAGCAAGGGCAGCTGCCACCAGCCCACTCTGAGAGCCACCAAGCCACTCGTGTGGCTTCACTCGTGTGGCTTGCCCGCTCGGAGAGAGAGCAGCTCCCTTCCCCACTCCAACAGCGTCTGGAAACAGTAGGCTCCAGCGGACTCTCAAATGTCACTTCTCCCCCTTGCAAGACCACGAGGCTTCCAACTGCTCATCAGCTGGACGGGCGAACATGCATGTTCTGAAGCAAAACTGAATCTTTCTCTACTATTTCCGCTTTCCAGAGACATTGAGCAGGTTTTATCCTTTGACGCTAAACGTGTGAGGGCACGTTCCTCATCGCGAGATACACCTCAACCAACGTTTGCAGCCTTGTTTAATTCCCCCTACAGTGTTCCTGGCCCATTAAGGGCAGGGGGGAGGAAGAAATGTACCATGACGACAAGAAGACTCTTATTGGCACCTGATATTCGTCCTGGGAGTCAACAAACTTTTCTTTTGTCCCACCCTCTTAATTTGGAAGCGTTCATGTTAATGTTTCTTATCATATCGATGCAGCCAAAGCTATTGCAGCGCAATGCATTTAACACCCTCACTAAAGAAACTGTATTGTATGCAAACTGTTGTCAGAGAAATGCAACTTTTCATTTCCAGACATCTAGTGGCACAATCTAAAAATTGTGTTGCGATGCTACCGGGCAGATCATCTCGTGTTATTGGTCTTCATTGACATTAGTGCCAATATACATCTGCCAATGGTCCATGTATTTAATTTTCTATTTCCTCTTTTTTAAGGGTTTTGAGGAGAGAGAAAGGAACACCTCCAGTGGCAGCATTTTAGAGTTGCACAAGTTGTTTTATGCAAAGCTATGGGGCTAAGATTCAAGCATTCTGTAGATCCCTAACATACAGAGCTATGACAAAACATCATTGTGTTGTGTAAAAAATACGTAACAGAACCTATGCCAGTGCAAACTCTGCTGTTTTTTCTATTTCTAGGCATGGCTATGCACAATATCTGACATTTCATCCATTTTTTTTCAGTTTCCGTGGGCCAGAAAAGCCATATATTCTATTGTAAAGCAAGCAAATCTTGAAATATAATTGTGGGGCTGACTTTTAAATTTCCCATAAAATTCATCTCTGAAGTGCATTTCTTCCACTATTTGATCTGAGGAAGTGGGTCTGGCCCACGAAAGCTCATCATCTAATAAACCATCTTGTTAGTCTTTAAAGTGCTACATTGTCCTGTATTTTGCTTCCCCAGACTAACACGGCTACATTTCTATTACTATCTCTGAAGTGAGACTGGACTTAGAAAGTTTCATTCCAAAGGGCAAACTTGTCAGAGTTAGGCGTGAGAAATGCAAAGGGCCCTTCCACCTTAACTGCCGTGTCCCCTACTGGAAAGGCCCAATGAAGGGGAAGTAAGATTTGATGAGGAAACTATTCTCCAGCGCCGATCTTGAGCGTCCTGTTTCTTTGCCTTCCCCAGGGAAACCTCTGACTTGTTTGCCACCTGCTCCAAGAGCGACATCCGAGTATGGCACACCCCGGAGAACAAGGAGCTGTTACGAATCACGATCCCCAATATGACCTGCCATGCCATAGACTTCATGAGGGACGGCAGGAGCATCATTTCAGGTAACGACAGGCGAGCTCCAGGTTCAGATCCCGCCTTCGATTGCTGTAATAGAAAAGGGGAGGCCCAGAGCCTGGAATTGCTCCAGCTATTTTGGCAGTGACCAAAGAGGTTCCATAAACCCTGCTCACAGCTGCCAGGCCCCTGGCATCGTGGGGATGGTGTGTGAGGAGCGCAGGGTTTGGGGAGCCCGGCTAGAGGGTGTGAACTCGGGCACATTAGGGAGTCCAGGTTCACATAGAACCAGGCAGGTTAGGGCTGAGGACAGAGGCATCGTGCGCCTTCCCCTCGCTCCCCTCGCCATTGTCCTGTGCTGCGTGGGGCTCCAGCGGCCCCCTCCCCAAACATTCTTCCCTAGCTAGACACCGGGAGGGAGTGAAATCTGCTCACGCACTCACCAAGTGGTTTTACCTCCGTGTCGCGGGCCTGATGGGGCCTTTTAATGAAAGGAATTGGGGAGGGGCTCAGGAAGGAGAAAAAATAATATAAAGGACGTGACTTTCTGGGTGGTGTTTCTGTATTGCTCCAGCTTGGAATGACGGGAAAATCCGAGCCTTCACGCCCGAGACTGGTCGACTCCTGTATGTGATCGACCACGCCCACAGCATGGGCGTGACAGCCATCGCGACAACGAGCGATTGCAAAAGGATCATCAGTGGAGGGGGGGAAGGGCAGGTAACACATGCCTAAATCTCTCAGGGCTGGCTGGTGCTATTGCCGCTGGAACTAGTAACCACCTCCCCAGAACCTGAGAGCGTCCTGGCTTGGCTCACGTAAGCACAAGACTCGGCTCCCAACTGTTCGTGTCGGCTGTAAGTAAATCTGCCCACTTCCTTGTAGCATGGCATGAAGCCCTGTCCGCTGGTTACTCCCGGCATGTAAATCCTGTCAATGCTGAACATGCCTCTTACTCCGATTTGTCAGTCTGTCTGTCACCGATATTTGGTTCATCTGCATCAGTCGTTGTTTGCAAGCCTGTCTTGAATGCAGGTTTTCCTTCTAACCCAGTTTTGCCAGTTCCT